GTTAACATTTTGGATCTAGTGACCTTTTTTCAGAACAGATGAAGGGTTCTGAAGAATGGTCACTGAATCTGAAACACCAATTCCGATTTCTCTCCACAGATGCTGAGATTTTCCAGAAATTTCTGTTTTTGCTTCAAATTTCCGGCATCTGCAGTTCTTTTGGTTTTTTTGTTCAATAATGTTTCGAACTTCTGTATGTCATCTGTGGCTGACTTGTTGCTCTGAACAGTGCATTTAAAGGTTGTACCTTAAAACAAAATTGCTCATATATGGCCTGTTTGTTTTCCTGGGACGAGCTAAGTTACTCTTGCAAAGTACCAGCATAGGCCCATCAAATGGTCACCTCTTGTACTATAACCATGCTACAATTTCCAATATTCACTCTTTCATGCCTCCCTGTCAAAACTCCTGGAAAAGCTATACATTACTGAGTGAGGTGAACTGTGTATTTTAATGATGTACCAATTTCATGATTACTCCGACAATGCAGACGCTCATGCTGCAATTCATGGTTATAATGTATATATATTACATCAAGATCATCACACAACATTAATACATGGGCTATGGAACAGTGTATTCTATTCCTGTGGTGAACATGCAGCATTGCATGTCAGTAATTTTTATAGCTCATCTGAACCGTCTCATCAGAATGATCCCACTGCATTTGAACTAGAGATTTTCTGATAAATGGCATAAAACATAACAATACAGAAATTGGAAGTTGTGGCTTTTAATAGGATAAGAGTCTTCAGCTGTTGAATTTCATTGTAGCAATAGCAGTTAAAAGGTTACTGCTTTGATGGGCTTTATGCTGCATTTTCCTTTTGAATGTCACTTAAGAGACCTGAATCTGAGGGGCATCTGAACTGATTGCTTAGTGCAGGGATTTAAAGGTTTATTTTTAAAATACAAGATGGAAAGGCGAATATATTGGACAGACTCCAAGAAAGAAAAAAATGTAAAGGACAAAGGATACACCTCTGTCCTTTTTAGCAAGGGAGATGCTGTGATTCCTTATGTGAAATATAGGGCACTAAAAAGTGGATGTGAAATCTGGGTGAAGGTGTCTGCATAATTCGGACATATGAACAACTAACAAAACAATCAAACTGAATGATTTTAATCATTCCAAGACAGACCTGGAATGAAGGTCATTTGTGTGGTCATAGTACTTAATACTTTTTAAACGATCCATCCAGTACCAAATAGGAAAGAAAATGTAGTTTAATTTTGATCTGGGAAATAAAGTAAGATTAATAACTGATGGAAGAATAGATAACAAAAATTATGTAGTGCCACAGTTTAGATGGATTCAATGTAAAAACAGAACAGTACATTGTACTGCAAAATTTTAAAGACATCCTGGCCCAAAATAAATGGCCAGAAAAGTTAACCAGTCCACAGATCAGCAATAGGAAATGTCCAAACCTGAGATGTATTGTGCAAAAAAAATGGACACAAAGGAAATTAAGCCAAAACTAAATCTAAAAATTGAGGCAAACAAAAATGTTTAGATATAAATTAAAGATTATCAATAGAAATACGAATGTGAGAATGAATTTGAAAAGATTAGCTGGACTAAAATGAAAAATGAATTAAAAAACCAGCCGATCAAATACAAGGAAATAGTAACCATCTATTGCAAGTATCGAAAAAGTTAAAAATCTGTTAGTGAAACGTATGGGCTACTCAGGGATGAATAATTAAGTCTAACTACAGAGGATAACATTTTGATAGAGGAAAGTATTTTGTACGACTTCTTCAAAAGTTGACAGTCGTAATTCTATCATAGGAATTTATTGTCAGAGATAACTGTGGAAATCAACTTAAATGCTAAAGCTCATTACAATGAAGCAGAGGATGCAACAGAAATTATAACAGGGCTGTCTAAAATTACGAATGATTTTGATGGATGAAAAGAGAATTCATTTTCTCCAGCTGGTGAGTCAATCATGTCGAACCATAACTTTAAGATTCTTTTCACAGACAGTTGTTGCAGTATGGAATGCTTTACCACAGGATTTGTTGGGGATTGCATCCTTTAAAGGTGAAGTTACATAAAATTTAAAGCTCAGAAAGACAGCAACATAATACTATTCATTTTGAATGTTCAACAAACAGTCAACGTAACTGACTAAATGACTTGCTCCTCTTATAAAAGTTCATGGTTCCCCAGTTAAAACAAAAAGTAACTCTTTTACAAATGTCACATCATGTGCTTATTCTGTATGGAAATCTCATTTCCACTAGACCCAATTATTCCCACTTCCCCCAACCCACAACCCAGACCCACATTCCTGTAGCCACCCTTGGAAGCAATACCCACACTCCTCACCATCCTTCCAGACCCAACTTCTCCCGCACAGCCCAACCTACGCAAACCAGAAGTCACACGACACCAGGTTATAATCCAAGGGAGCACATCTCCGAAAGCTTGTGATTTCAAATAACCCTGTTGGACTATAACCTAGTGTCATGTGACTTCTGACTTTGTCCACTCCAGTCCAAAACCACCACCTCCACATCACACTCAAACCAGTGCATCACTTACCCCTTGCCAACTTGCACCCTGACACCCCATTCAACTGGTACCCTACCCATCTGACACCCTACCCCTTACACATTCATCACTGGGCTGAAGCTTCTTGTAATCAATACGATGCCCTCTCTTTCAACTGTACCTCCACCTTCTCCCTTCAAATTTTCTAATTTGTATTTAGTTTCAAACATAGTATATGGGACATAGTATTATAGTATTTGGGACAGTTTGTGGCATAATGGTACTTGGAATTGCACCCAGAACATGAATGACCACACCCTGGACATTTCTACAATTCATTTTCTTATTGTAAATCACAAATCCTTTTGCTTTTCAAATTTCTCAATGGCATTTCTGTCCCGATTTCTATCACAGTTCTCCTTCTATATTGTCAGCTGTGACCCGCATCTAGATGGAATGCCAATTCAGTGTCCTCCATTTTCTGTCACATCACCCTTTGTGCTACAAATGCTGCTGAAAAGGAATGCTTTCATGGTAGTCTGCAAATTTAACCGCCATTGAATCTAGAAATCTGTCCACACTTGAAACTTTGGTCCAGTCCAATAACTAAAACGCCAAGACAGATTTGGAAATTTCCAAGTAGAATTTCTACAATCTACTGGATTTCATTATGAACTCTTGCATGGTACTATCCTCAGTCTTTCTAAATTTTCCAAAATCTGACCACACATCATATGCGGTCATAAATCATCTTTTTGATAAATTTAACAATAAGTGACAACAGCTTCATCTGTACTAAATCATCAGGCTTCAATTCTGAAGAAAAAAAAACTTTACTTCTTTCTTCTGTGTGGTAACAAACATGCTAAGGTTTCACCTTGTTTGTTCTTTGGTAAAAAAGTAACCAAGATCCACATTGACATTTTATCGTTCTACCAATAATGAGGCTTGTTTTCAGAAAACATACCCTGAAACTTTGCATTTTGACTTAATCATCCTCTGCTACTAATAGAATACATTAGAAGATAACTATCTAAATAGATTCCAAACCCACATTTTTAGTGAGAGGATTATTTCAGTGAACCACAATCCAAAACACTCACCGCCCCCAATGATTACTAACTATATATTTATACAATCAATTCACACCCAATTAACCCTTAATTAATATATTTATCACCTATTCTCTTAAGTCTTAGGCATTCCTCCAAACTATATTAAATGATAGCAATCAAGCCCCAGAAAGGACAGCTGCCACACAGTTAGCAGCATAAAATTTCCCTCGATAAATCTGAAAGACTTCTCAAGTGACTCATGGGATTGCGGGGTCATTCTAACAACTGGAAAATGCCAGCAGAATTCTAAAATGGCAGTTCATTGGTTAATTAGTTTAGCAATTTGTCAAAACACTGCTATTCCTGCTTCTACAAATATTCCCAGGGAAAGAAACATGTTGGACTTCGCTCCAGATATCTTCTGCTGTAACTACGCAAACTTCTCGTAACCCTAACCCCACCCTCATCCTGTAGCCTGTCTCCAAAGGGCTGGTAAAATGCCAGCCATCAAAAAAAAATCAGTGCCTCTTTCATTCAATTGTTTTATTCACCTAGAATTACTGTAAAATGCTTCCACATATATTAAGATTTACGCCAAATTACATTCTTGCTAACTCAAACCATAAATGCATCAACTAATGTAGCTCATGTTCAGACCTTCATAAGTTCCTTATAGTAACCTAGCAACAGGGCAGTTTCATTGGCAAAAAAATTATTTGTTCTGACAAAAACAAAAATCACTGAGATTCACACTGATCACAGAAATGACTGAAGAATGTTTATGACAGTTCAAAATCTGACAAAAGCATTCATTTTGCACATTAGAATTAATTTGGTATGCCAAGTGTGAACTGGAAATGGCAAACATGTCACTGATTACCACTGCACTTCGGTTTTGCAATTCAACCTTTGTCATTGAGACAAGAGAATCAAACAGTTTGCAGTCATTCAGTTGCAGTGCATACTTAATCTTAGAATAGAAACCACAATATTGAAGCCAAGAGTAAGGCAAAACTCTCTGTATTTTTAGCAGTGTGTATTTCTGCTGCACAATAAGTTCCTAAAGATTCTTGTTGATATATCTTACATTTTTGAAGAGTTATATGAATTTGAATTTATTATTACACATACATGCTATTATTGACGACATGCTAAATTAGTCTTGGATGGAATATAGATTGGGCTATCATTCCCAACCACTAGACATCAAAGTGAGTGGTGTGCCCATCTATGCTTGGCTAGCTTGACCTGCAGCCATTTAATGGCCTTCGGGACTTAATTGGCTTCAAGTTGACTTTCTTCCCTTTTTGGGCAGGAAGTCCCACCTCCAACAGTTGCCAGCAAGTAAGATGCTCAGTAGGTCTCTTGTCCCAGCCGTGCCACAGAGAAACATGATTGTAGACAATCCCTGAAGACAATATTCCATAAGTTATTTTACCTACCTCTCTTCTCTCACTGCATATTTTGCAAAGCCAAATGGGTCTCCGCTGGCTCCCAAGTGTTTCAATTCCACATTTTACACAGACTTTCTACAAAAAGAAGAAATTTCAGAAACTGAGTACTTCGGTTTTCAAATGTCCACTGAGATTCATCTTCTACTGTAGCCACCAACTGGCAGTCATCTCCTTGACCAATAAATCTAATTACACGAAGGTTAATCCTTGACTGTATTGTGCACACTTTTAATAACAAAGGCTTTGATGGAATCTTGGTTCACACTGGCAATAACTTGTACGTTATTGAAGATTACAATACCTTATTACCTTCTCACTTGGCTGTACTTTCTATAATCTGCCTTGTCCAAATAACCTACTGTGGCAGTGGTACTAGCCTCAATATCAAAACATCTTCATCTCTACTTCAATTCTTCTGTCCTTCTCCTTACCATGTACCACTTCACCTGACACGTTCTCAAATCTCTACCATCTATAAATTCTGCTGTGACTTCCGCCTTAAAAAAAATCCTCTCTTCTTTCCTTTCTTAGCTTCTGTGCTGAACTACATATCCTTGTTGGTTTCAATCTCCATCTCAACACAGTTTGAAATTGCTCTCTGTCCTCCTCTACTCCCTTAACCTCTTTTGTCATTTTCAATTTCCGAAGCATACGCATTACCATCTATGAGCCTACCTTCACTTGTGTCCTCTACGTCAAAAGACTCAACCACGGAAAAGGCTAGCTCCAACCACTACTCTGTACCCACTGATTTGATTTATTTATTAGCTTTCAAACTGCCATGATATTTCTGCATGCAGCTGAACTGGTAAATTATTCATTCTCCTCTAACTAATGCCCTTTTGCTAGTAACATCCTTCTTCACTTACACTCTGGTCATTTTCCTTAGTTTTGACACTCCACAACTTTGTTCACACAAATCCAAGGGACACAGATTTAAGTGTATGTGGGCACGTACCTGAATTTGTCGCTCATTGCTAGATCTAGCATGATTTTACCCTTGCCTCCACTGCCGAAAACACTCCCATTATTGCAGAGAAGCTGCCAGGCTCCCTTCCTCCATTACCAACTGTATCCATAACACACTAGATATTGTTATGACTAAAGGAATCAAGAGATATGGGGAGATAGTGCAAATGTGGTCCTGAAATGGATGATCAGCCACAATCATACTGAATGGCACAGCAGGCACAAAGGGCCGAATGGCCTATTCCTGCATCTGTATTCTATGTTTCTCCATTGGTCATTTAACATCTTCCTTTTAACTAAGATAACAACCATTTGTTAAATTGCCTCTTCTGCATTCCTCCCTTCCGTACCAAGTCGTTAATACTTCAAGGCTCCTCATTGCCTGAGCTCTGAATTGGCATCTTTTGCTACTCTCTTTCTAATTTCAGCATCCCTCCTCTCCAAACACATCTGTCCCATGACCCCAACTTCACAGACTCTTAATTCTACTCCCACTAAAGAGCTGGCCAGCCACCTATCCTTCTGGCTTCCACATTACGTAAAATAATAAAGTTCCAATTAGAACTGCAGGGGCAATTTCTTCCACATTATGTGCTGAGACTCCTCAATCAAGTAAATTATTGTAGGCTAAAGATCCTTGAACAACAACACTAATCAATCGTTACTCTGATGCCAGAGGGCAACTATATGCCTGCTCTATATATTTCAAGGCTAATTAAGCAGCTTTGACACACAATAAGAAGCATTTCAATTGGTTACAGAATTCATTCTAGCAACAGAACATATTGTGAAGACATGGTTTCGTTCAAGAAACACTGCCTGAACGATTTCACCACACAATAATGAAGAGAGAGTAAAACATTATTCACTGATGTTTGTGAGAACTGACTCAAGTCATGAATGTTGACTGATTAGTATATCTAGTAATTTACCACAGATTGTGCAAGTAAGTTGACTCCATTTTTCCAGTCCCAAAAATGGTGTTTTTGCATATGCTCAATAAATAAGTTGACATGCCATCCCATTTCCTTTCCAGCCACAACATGTTATATTTGCATCAGCAGTCAGCCTTAATTTTTTTTGCCATTTAAACTAATCGTTTAACTTACTTTAAACGTGGACACAGGGCAGAGCAGTCAATATAGGATGAATTGTCAAAAAGTGTGAAAGTTTAAGAGACACAGAGCAGAACCCAGGTGGGGAACCAAAAAGAGAAATAAGTACTTCAACAAAATGCATAAAGTATGAACAAAAACAAAGTTGCTGGAAAAGCTCAGCAGGTCTGGCAGCATCTGTGGAGGAGAAAACAGAGTTAACGTTTCGGGTCTGGTGACCCTTCCTCAGAACTGTATTTTTCCAGCAACTTTGTTTTTGTTCCTGATTTACAGCATCCGCAGTTCTTTTGTTTTTTATTCCATAAAGTATGAAGTTGGTTTCAAATAAAGAGTTGTAACATATACTTACTCATCAACTAACAAAGCTGCAGCATGGGAATCCAGAATGAGTGAAAAATTAAGAAGGAAGAATGAAGAAGGAATTGATCCTGAAGAAGATACCTGGGACCTAATGTGCATGAGAATGGGGAGAACTGACTTAATCTTGAGAAGCATGCATCAGAATGAGTGCTCAAAAATTGTGAGAACGTTTTCATCGTCATGCAAAGTGTATACACCGCTGAATTAAATCAAGTCAAATAACAAATTCAGGAAAGATTTCAAAGCAACAGTTAGTTGGTACAATAAAAACAGAAAGTGCAGCAGAAACTCAACAGATCTGGCAGGATCTGTGAACAGAAACAGAGTTTATGTTTTGAATCCAATAACACTGTTTCATATCTCCGGCACCTCATAATTTTGCTTTTATTTAAGCTGGTTGGAGTAGACGCTTTATGAAACAAAAATGTCCTTTGTAGCAGGAGAAGACCAAGAATGTTCATAGGCAACCAAAATACCTCAATAGCATCATTGCCAATTTCCAATGAAACACACAGAACATGAGAAGAGTCCATTAAAAGAAGGCTGATGGAACAAAATGAAAGTCTATGGTAATTTTCAATTATAACACCATGCACAAAATCAAGATCCTGCAGAAGTATTATATCCTGTGGGTGGCAACAGTTGGTTAAAAGAGGAAGAAGTGATATTATGGATTGATTATGTGGAATAGGTGAACCAATTGCTTTCATAGGACTTTCTTTTTAACCAATGAGATCATATGAAGAATAAATAACACCCAAATTGCAGTTATATCAAGGGGATTAATGTCCATAGTTCAACTTATGGATAGGTCCCCCAACAAACCAGTCAAGGATTACACTTGCACCAAATGAAAACATGGATGGTTGACAGTGATAAAATCATCTCAAAGAGTGCACATGTATGTGATGCACCATTTGATATTTTGAGTGGTTTTGTAGTCAATTCATGAGATGCCATTTGTGCACAAACTGTCACTAAAGCATTCAAAAACAAATGTGGAATATTCAATTCAGTGATTACAGAAGAAACTGCTTTGTTGTGGAGGGATGATTCTGAAATATTGCAATTGCCAATGTTGCTCAGAATGAATTCAGTGAACTTTTAGTGTTAGATGCCAAAGAAAATTAGTTGAACAGGTTTTGTAACACTTCCGTTGTGATCAAAGGAATTTTTATACAATTGATTTATTGAAGAAACCACATTATATCAATACAAATGATCAGCATCATAATTTTTCATGCTTCAAAATGGCGACCACTCACACTGGACAGTTGATGTTTGTGCTCAGCATTTAAGTTAAACCGTGTTTTTGGAATGATTTATGGAGACTTCAAAGGTTCATAGATATGCCAGTATGTAAAGAAATGAGAAAGGCTACCTCATGAATTTACATGCATTGAATTTGTAAGCCAATTTAATTCATAGGGGTATCATCCAACACTTGGTACAGGGCTAAATTCCTAACTTCTTCATATGCAACTATCCGCAAAAGTGGCATAGACCATTTTGCTTTGTGTCTGTTGCTGTAGATTCCAAGTCTTCCCCAGTGGAGAAGAGAAGCATGTTGGAGTTGGTGCATTGGGTAGACGCAGATAAACCAGTGATCACAAATTTTCTCACTTCATTAATTTCCATCAGCCCTATTGAAAACTGGTCAAGACCTAATGATTGACCATTTAAAACAACTATCAGCTTGAAATCATCATCAGTGAGGTCCAGGGACTGAATCTTATGGTTTCTCGGCTATAGGTCGGCATGTTTGTTGGTGGGATGTCTGCTGCAAGGCCGAATGAGCTTTCTTACCGTATCTTCATAAACTGACCACATTTGATTGATTGATTTGATTTATTGTCACGTGAACCTAAGTACATTGTTTGCAAGCAGTACAGGCAGATAATAGTAAGCAAGGACATATGCATCATTGGGTGAAAAAAACTTGGACAAAAAGTGAGGCAGGTTACATTACACAAGATGTGCACAAGGCAAGATCAACATTAACACAGTCAACATTATTTGAAGTTAGAGAGTTCATTTCATCAGTCTAATAGCGGTAGGGAAGAAGTTGTTCTTGAAGCTGTTGGTGTGTGTGTTTAAGCTTCTGTATTTTCTGCCTGATGGAAGAGGTTAAAGGAGAGCACTACTGGGGTGAGATGGACCTTAAATGATGTTGGCAGCATCTCTGCACCAACGAGGGGTGTAAATGGAGTCCATGTATGGGAGATTGGCTTCCGTGGTGGTCTGGGCTGTGCATACACCCCTATGGCATGCAACACATCCAGTTTCCACCTCATCTGGCCACATACTATTCCCAGAAGAACTTACCACTCAGCAGTCATCTGCCTGAAAACCAGCATCGCTTCCATCCATGCCATCTTTGAAAGCTTGAGGTTGACCTGCTGGTGTCTGGAATCTGCCCTGTTTGGTTCAGGAGAGTGAGAGGATAGATGGCTGGGAAGAGGAAATTGGCACCCTGTTTGCCAATAGGGATCTGAAGGTTCTGGTGGATGGAATGGTTCACAGGAGAAGAGTCATCCAAACCTATAGGCCAGCTGGCTCCACAACCAAACAGGCTCCCTCAGCAATCTGTGGAACTGGGAAGCTCATTAAGATGCAACAGGAGGAAGAAGA